TTGCATTTATTTCTGCCCTAATTTTTAAGATTTCTTTCCTTCTACTAACCCTGGGGTTCTTCATTTCTTCCTCCTCTAGTTGCTTTAGGTGTAGAGTTAGGTTATTTATTTGACTTTTTTCTTGTTTCTTGAGGTAGGCCTGTAATGCTATGAATCTTCCCCTTAGCACTGCTTTTACAGTGTCCCATAGGTTTTGGGTTGTTGTGTTTTCATTTTCATTCATTTCTATGCATATTTTGATTTGTTCTATGATTTGTTGGTTATTCAGAAGCATGTTATTTAGCCTCCATATGTTTGTATTTTTAATAATTTTTTTCCTGTAATTGAGATCTAATCTTACTGCACTGTGGTCAGAAAGGATGACTGGAATTATTTCAATTTTTTTGAATTTACTGAGGCTAGATTTATGGCCAAGGATGTGATCTATTCTGGAGAAGGTTCCGTGTGCACTTGAGAAAAACGTGAAGTTGATTGTTTTGGGGTCAAATGTCCTATAGACATCAATTAGGTCTAGCTGGTCCATTGTGTCATTTAAAGTTTGTGTTTCTTTGTTAATTTTCTGTTTAGTTGATCTATCCATAGGTGTGAGTGGGCTATTATAGTCTCCCACTATTATTGTGTTACTATCAATTTCCTCTTTCATAGTCATTAGCATTTGCCTTACATAATGTGTGCTCCTATGTTGGGTGCATATTTATTTATAATTGTTATATCTTCTTCTTGGATTGATCCTTTGATCATTATGTAGTGTCCTTCTTTGTCTCTTTTCACAGCCTTTATTTTAAAGTCTATTTTATCTGATATGAGTATTGTGACTCCTGCTTTCTTTTGGTCTCCATTTGCATGAAATATTTTTTTCCAGCCCTTCACTTTTAGTCTGCATGTGTCCGTCTTTTTGAGGTGGGTCTCTTGTAGACAGCATGTATAGGGGTCTTGTTTTTGTATCCATTCATCCAGTCTTTGTCTTTTGGTTGGGGCATTCAACCCATTTACATTTAGGGTAATTATTGATAGCTGTGGTCCCATTGTCATTTACTTTATTGTTTTGGGTTCACGTTTATACAACCTTTCTGTGTTTCCTGTCTAGAGAAGATCCTTTAGCATTTGTTGAAGAGCTGGTTTGGTGGTGCTGAATTCTCTCAGCTTTTGCTTGTCTGTAAAGCTTTTGAGTTCTCCTTCATATCTGAATGAGATCCTTGCTGGCTACAGTAATCTAGGTTGTAGGTTATTCTCTTTCATTACTTGAAGAATGTCCTGCCTTTCCCTTCTGGCCTGAATGGTTTCTATTGGTAGATCAGCTGTTATCCTTATGGGCATCCCTTTGTGTGTTATTTGTTGTTTCTCCCTTGCTGCTTTTAATATTTGTTCCTTGTATTTGATCTTTGTTAATTTGATTAATAGGTGTCTTGGGGTATTTCACCTTGGGTTTATCCTGTTTGGGACTCTCTGGGTTTCTTGGACTTGGGTGGCTATTTCATTACCCATTTTAGGGATGTTTTCAGCTAGTATCTCCTTGAGTATTTTCTCATGGCCTTTCTTTTTGTCTTCTCCTTTTGGGACTCCTATGATTCGAATGTTCAGGCGTTTCACACTGTGCCAGAGGTCCCTGCAGTTGTCCTCATTTCTTTTGATTCTTTTTTCCTCTCTGCTTCATTTATTTCTACCATTTTATCTTCTACCTCACTTATCCTGTCTTCTGCCTCTGTTATTGTACTGTTGGTTCTCTCCAGAGTGTTTTTGATCTCATTTAGTGCATTATTCATTTTTAATTGACTTTTTTAATTTCTTCTAGGTCCTTATTAAACATTTCTTGCATCTTGTCAATCTTTGTCTCCAGGCTATTTATTTGTAACTCCATTTTGTTTTCAAGATTTTGAATCATTTTTATTATCATTATTCTAAATTCTTTTTCAGGTAGATTCCCTATCTCCTCCTCTTTTGTTTGACTTGGTGGGCATTTTTCATGTTGCTTTACCTGTTGGGTATTTCTCTGCCTTTTCATCTTGTTTAGATTGCTGTGTTTGGGGTGGCCTTTCTGTTTCTGGTAGTCTGTGGTTCTTTTTTAATGTGGAGGTTTCTCCCAGTGGGTGGTGTTGGACGATTGGCTTGTCAAGGTTTCCTGTTTAGGGAAGCTTGCATTGGTGTTCTGGTGCATGGAACTGGATTTCTTCTCTCTGGTGTGCAATGGAGTGTCCAGTAATGAGTTTTGAGATGGGTCTATGTGTTAGGTGTGACTTTGGGCAGCCTGTATGTTGATGCTCAGGGCTATGTTCCTGTGTTGCTGGAGAATTTGCATGGTATGTCTTGCTCTGGAACTTATTGGCTCTTGGGTGGTGGTTGGTTTCAGTGTAGGTATGGAGGCTTTTGGATGGTCTCTTATTCCTTAATGTTCCATATAGTCAGGAGTTTTCTGGTGTTCTCAGGTTTTGGGCTTAAGTCTCCTGCCTCTGGATTTCAGTTTTTTTCTTCCAGTAGTCTCAAGACTTCTCCAACTGTACAGCACTGATAATAAAACTTCTAGGATAATGGTGAAAAGATTCTCCCCCATGAGGGACACCCAGAGAGGTTCACAGAGTTACATGACGAAGAGGAGAGGGAGGAGAGAGATAGAGATGAGCTTCAGAAGAAAAAGGGGGACTCAAGAGGAGAGAGACAGATCTATGCAGTTCTCTGTTCCCAAAGTGTTCCCTGTAGCCCAGACACCCGCATAGATTAACAGAATTGGATTGGGAAGAAAAGGGGAAGGGAGGAAATAAAAGTGTTCTGAGGTAGAAAACGGAGAGTCAAAAGTGGGAGAGAGTAATCAACACACTCCTGAGTAAAAATGGGTACTGAATATTGGATTCTTAAATGTCCAAAATTGATATCAAATACTGAAAAACAAAGATTAAAAATCTAGAGGAGAGGTTAGACTCTTAAAAATACAATATTAAAAACAAAAAAACAAAAAATTTTAGAAATATATATGAAGTTCCATTTAAAAATATGGCTTTTCCTTTTTTTTGGCAAGGTTATAGTGAAATGAAAATGAAAATTAAGGAGTAATATTGGAGTAATAGAGAGCTTTAAAAGACAATAAGAGAAAAAAAATAAAACTAGAAAAAATTTTTTTTTCCTAATTAAAAAAAACAGTAAATATATATGAAAATGAAAGTTAAGGAGTGATGGAGGAGTAATAGGGAACTTTAAAAGAAAATAAAAGAGAAAAAATAAAAAAAGAAAAGAAAAAATATTTTTTAATTAAAAAAAAAGTAAAAATATATCTAGGAATTTCTCTGGAGCTGTTGCGATCAGTGTGGGTTTGGTTCAGTTTCAGATAGCTCCTCATTCCAACTTACACTTCTCGATATCTGTAGGCCCCTTTTGGTGTAGTCAGTGTTATCTACAGGGATTTTAATCTGTTGCACTGGTCCCTTCTGAAGCAGTTCCCTTTGTTTATTTGGCTTCTCTTTGCCCGTCTCTTCAGTGTCTAATTTCTGCCCCAACACAGGCGGGCAGAGGTTGTCTCTTGTTTAGTTTTGCTTGTTCAGTCGCGCTGCAGGGAGGGAGGGGCGCTGCAGACAGATATCGCTGGCCTGTGTGGGGAGCACTCACAGTGTTCCGGCCACACTGGGTTTGTCCCCGCTCATGGGTGTGTGCTCTCCCGGTTTTCACTGCTCAGGCTCCCAGCTGCTCTATATGGAGCGGGCCCTGTGTTGCGTGCGGTTGCAGTTTTCAGGTATTCCACAAAAGCGCAGACTCGGTTGGTCCTGCGTTTTGTGCCTTCTCCAGCCCTAGCAGCTCAGGCCGCCAGGAGCTTGACGGGTGTGCTCTCCCCGGGTGTGGTGCACCTTCTCCCCTCCGCGGTCCCAGTCTCAGTTTCCGAGCACGCCAGTCTTGTGCGTGCGCCTTGTGTCTATTCTTGGGAGCTGGCCTCTAGCCGTGACCCTCCCGGCGGATGTCGACCATCCAGAATCTCAGGAAGTCTTTGGTTAGAAACTGGAGGCCTGTTTGCAGTTTGGTAGGGGGTGCCATCTGGGGCTGAGTTTGCCCCTTTCCCCTCTCCCCTCCTCTTTACTCCGGCAGGGATGGGCCAGTCTGCAGCCGGCCAGCTCTTCTCTGGAATTGTTCACTCCCTTTGTTCTGCGAATGGCCGGCAGTGTGTTCAGGCTGGTTAATTTTCTCTCTCTCTCTCTTGCTATCCCACAGTTTAAGTTGCTATCTCAAGTCAGCTCCCTCCGATTGCCCTCAGGGCATTCGGTCTCGGTCCTTACCCTAAGCAATGCTGCCTGTTCCTCTCCGTTACGCCCCCACTTGCTGGTGGCGGATGCAGGCATCTGGGGTACTTTTCTGCTGGGAGTTGCTTTTAGCCATGTAATCTGTGGGTTTTATTTATTTTTCCTCCCAGTTAGGTTGCCCTCCAAGATTCGAAAACTTCCCCCAGACCCAACTGTGAGGGGGTTTCCTGGTGTTTGGAAACTTCCTCTATTATAACTCCCTTCCCGGGATGGGTCTCCGTCCCTAGCTCTTTTGTCTCTCTTTTTATCTTTTATATTTTGTCCTACCTCCTTTCAAAGACAATGGGTTGCTTTTCTGGGCACCTGATGTCTTCTACTAGTGGTCAGAAGTTGTTTTGTGAAATTTGCTCAGTGTTCAAATGTTCTTTCGATGAATTTGTAGGGGAGAAAGTGGTCTCCCCATCGTATTCCTCCGCCATCTTGGCTTCTCCCTCTAAAGTATATTTTAGAGTGAGTTTGCACTGTGTCTGCTTTTGTATTTTTGATAAATACTATCTAAATATTTTCATTAGATACTTCTTAAGAAACTTTATTCTTAATTTTTTTTTTTTACTGTCTCTTATGTGCCTGACACAACCAGCCTGAGGACTTGATCCCTCATTTGAGAGGAGAAACCTACTCTTGGCATGAGTGCTAGCCCTTGCAGCTTGATGCCTGTTTTTCTGAGTGTAATTCCACAGTGAAAGTGTTCTGAGTGTTATTTAATTGTTTTTGCTTTAGGATGCTTCCTATGAAATCTCACTGCTGGGTCTGTAATATTTTTGGTTGTGTAAATCCTATTTATGTTTTCTCTAGGCATAAGATTTAATGTGGTCAGCATGTGTCTTATTCTGCTTGGTTTGCCATAACAAAATATCATAGACTGCGTGGCTTAAATAACAGAAATTGTTTTCTCAGAGTTCTGGAGGAACTCTGAGATCAGGATGCCAGAATAGTTGGATTCTAGGGAGAACTCTCTTCCTGGCTTGTAGATGGCAGCCACCTTCTTGCTTCATTCGACATGGTGGAGAGAGGTAAGAGATAGAGGGTGAAGTTTGCGTCTTGAACATATGAATTTTAGGGAACACAAACATTGCATCTGTAATAGCGTACAAAGACAATTTTAAGAATATAATTTCAGAGCAATGTAGCTGAAAAATTGGTCCATTGAGAATTAGGTTGTAAAGTAAATTAATGTTTAATGATTAGTTTGCCTTCCAGGGAGCAAGTGTCTTAATTTCATGGATGCAGTCACCATCTGCAGTGATTTTGGAGCCAAAGAAAATAAAATTTGCCATGGTTTCCAATTTTTCCCTATCTGTTTGCCATGAATTGATGGGACTGAATGTCAAGATCTTAGTTTTTTAAATGTTGAGATTTAAGCCAGCCTTTTCTCTTTCTTCTTTCACCTTCATCAAGAAGCTCTTTAGTTCCTCTTCACTTTCTGTCATTAGATTGGTATCATCTGCGGGGCTGAGGTTGTTGATATTTCTCCCAGCAGTCTTGATTCCAGCTTGTGATTCATCTAGCCTGGCATTTTGCATGATGTGTTCTACATATAAGTTAAATAAGCAGGGTGATAATATACAGCCTTGATGACCTCCTTTCCCAATTGGGAACCAGTTTGTTGTTCCATGTCTGGTTCTAACTGTTGCTTTTTAACCTGCATACAGGTTTCTTTGGAGACAGGTAAGGTGGTCTTGTATTCCATCTCTTTAAGACTATTTCACATTTTCTTGTGATCCAAACAGTCAAAAGCTTTAGTGTAGTCAATGAAGCAGATGTTTTTCTGGAATCTCATTGCTTTTTCTTTGATCCAACAGATGTTGGCAATTTGATTTCTGGTTCCTCTGCCTTTTCTAAATCCAGCTTGTACATCTGGAAGTTCTCAGTTCACATAACTGCATCCTAGCTTGAAGGATTTTGATCATTACCTTGCTAGCATGTGAAATAAGCACAACTGTCCGGTAGTTTGAACATTTTTTTGGCATTGATTGTCTTTGGAATTGGAATGAAAACTGACCTTTTCTAGTCCTGTGGTCACTGCTGAGTTTTCCAAATTTGCAGACATATTGAGTGCAGCACATTAACAGAATCATCCTTTAGGATTTTAAATAGCTCAACTGGGATTCTATCACCTCCACTAGCTTTGTTTATAGTAATGCTTCCTAAGGCCTCCGTGATTTCACATTCCAGGATGTCTGGCTCTAGATGAGTGACCACACTATCATTTTTATCCATGTCATTAAGACCTTTTTTATGTAGTTCTTCTGTGTATTCTTGCTACTTCTTCTTAATATCATCTGCTTTGGTTAGGTCCTGGCCATTTCTATCCTTTATTGTGCCCATCTTTGCATAAACTGTTGCCTTAGTTTCTCCAGTTTTCCTGAAGAGATCTCTAGTCTTTCCTATTGTATTGTTTTCTTATTTCTTTGCATTGTTTACTTAAGAAGGCTTTCTTATCTCTCCTTGCTATTCTCTGGAACTCTGCATTCAGTTGGGTATATCTTTCCCTTTCTCCTTTGCCTTTTGTTTCTCTTCTTATAAACCTGTTTTAGCAGTCAGACAGATGATACTGCATAATAATAATTATGAGGTTGGGTTGCATAATAATACCCAACCTCAATAGCTTAACATAACACATAATATGGGTATTTCTGAAGAAGTTTATTGGAATAATTTGTGTTTCAGATCTTTATATTCCCCCAAAGAGCAAACTATATCAACATGATAGTGTTGTTTGATGTTTCTTTTGCATTTTAAATATTTTTTTTCATTCTTATTTTTAGGAAACTATTAACATCACATTGGATCACAAATGTAAAATTTTCCAGACCTTAAATGGAGCTGTAGGTATGCTTCCTAAATAGTGGGTTACTCATGTATGCAAATGAACACCAGTGTTTTCAACTGTTTATCATTTTTTTATATTCATTTTGGAGCTATGACTAAGGTTGACATGAAGGTATTGCAACTGTTAAGCAAAATATTGGAGTTAAGCTGAGCTTGATATAAATGCATTCAGTTGAAATCATTTCCTAAGAATAGTACAAAAAGGTAAACTTCAGCCTTAGGTAACTTAAACTTTAGTGATTTATGGGGACTCTAGATATAGTTTTAAATTAATTACACTTTGTTATTACAGTTTTAAGTACCAGCTTTTAATATTGTGAATTACTCAGCAGTATTAAATTATTTTAACCTAGGTTAAAAGTAACTGGTAATGAGACATGTACACTGTGGAGTGTGGTATGTGTGTGTGCATGCCTGTATGTGTTTTCCTGGTAGACATGTATTTAGATAAAAATACATGAATACATTAAATTTAATTAATTGATACATTAAAAAATACACTGATACATTAATGCATTAATACCTCACAAATTAAAAATATACTGCAATTTGATATACTTCTTTAAGGCAGTTCATAAATAAAAAGATTCTTAGAGTGGAAGGCATTTAGTTCAGAGTGCTTTGGAAATATGAGGAAAGGAGCTTGAAAACAAAAAAAGTTTCTGCTCCTACTTTCAGCTCCTTGTGCTGACTTATGTATTCCTGGAATTAGCATTAGTCCTGATTTTCAAGAACTGGAAGTACTATCAATGATGGCCAGTTGTAGAAACCTAGCTTTTGCCTGTCAGTTTTCTACTTGCTAAACATATATTGTTGTTATCTTCATAATAACCTAGAAAAACAGGCAAGGATCCCATTTTACAGATGAATAAATTGAGACAATAGTTTAATTCATTTGGGATTACATCACTTTCAAAAGATAGAGACGGTATTGCGAAGATGCCTTCTTTCAACCAAGACCTCTCAGTGTCTTAGCTCAGTTTGCCAGCACCAGGTTGGAGAAAGTTAGGTGCTTAGAATCTGCATCTGTGTCAGTGTTGTCCTTCATTTTGGATATCTGCTGACTTGAAGCAGGCAAAGTTTCTCAAAGTGTGGCATATGGAATAGTATGCATGAGAAATTTTTAATAAACTAAAATGTATAGATAGATGTGTACATGTATATGTGTATATGAACACATACATACACATTTTAAATGACTAAAATCTGTCTTTTTTAAAATCCAGATGAAGTTGTTTTGAAATTTGAAAATGGAAAAGCCAGAGCTAAAAATGTATTTTATGAAACATTACCAGTGATGATTAATGGAAATGGGCCCACCAAGGTGAGTCACAGTAGAGACCTTTCTCTGTTTCTTTATTTCTTGAGGATAGATTACAGAGAAGTATATATTGATAGAATGACTTCTTCTCCTCCTTCCCCTTTTCCCCCTTCTCCCCTCTCCCTCCTTCCCTTCCTTTCTGCCCCCTGCCCCATTTCCTTCTCTCCCACCTTTTCCTCCCCCTCTTCCTCCTTTAATATCTTTAAGAGGCTTGATAAGTAACAAGGTTCTACTGTATAGACAGGGGTATTCAATACCCTCTGATAAATCATAATGGAAAAATGTCTATTTATGAATTGTTTTGTATATACATACATATATACATATGTACATACACATACGTATATATATGCACACACATATACACACAAACATACGCATATATGGTTAGTGATATTGTGCTTAAAACAATGTTCTGGGATACCAAGATGATGCTTGGCTTACCCATAAGTACATAGAAAAGAGATTATTAGATAAATTTGTATTGTGGGAAGAGAGATGGGAGATGAAGTCTGCTATTTCAGAAGAGTGAGAAGCCTGAATTCCAATAAAATCTATATGCATGGGAAGACAGTCAAGGAAAAGCCCACATTGGCAGCCTTTCCACCATAAAAATGGAGAAAGTAGATTACCCTTCTTTAGTTACTTTCCACCTTGCTTTTCATCACATTCCAGCCCTCCTACAGAACCTTGGCTATGGACTCCTTTATCTGTCTGATAACAGTTTTCCCAGCTCTAATCTCTCCTTCTCATCAGCATTTTAAAGATGTTAAGTCTTTTTCATTCTATGAACCTATCCAACACAAACTGTAACATCCTTCTCAGTCTACATTGCTTCCCAGCAATGTAGGACATTTTCCTTCCCCTCACAGCCACACTCTTTAGAGACTATTGCTCTTCACCAAAGTGTTGTGTTGTGATATTCTTGTTGAGGAGTAGACACTAAAGAGCTCTCATTTATCTTTCATTCAAAGATAACATTTGATGATGTTCATCCCATTTGGTTCAGTTTGAAATACTTCCCTTTGCTTCCATCATGCTCTGCTGGTTTGTCTAATAACTTTCTGGCCATTCCTCATTCTTTTTTAGTCTATTTTTCTTATATATATATATATATATATATATATATATATATAATTTATTTTCTTACTTTTGGTTGTGCTGGGTTTTCATTGCTGTGGGTGTGCTTTCTCTAGTTGTGGCGAGTGAGGGCTACTCTCTAGCTGTATTGCTAGAGCTTCTCATTGCAGTGGCTCTTCTTGTTGCAGAGCACAGACTCTGGGCATGTGGGCTTTAGTAGTTGCAGTGCAGAGCCTCAGTAGTTGTGGCTCTCAGGCTCTAGAGCCCAGGGTCAGTATTTGTGGTACAGAGGTTTAGTTGCTCAGTGGCATGTGAGATCTTCCCAAACCAGGGATTGAACCTGTGTCCCCTGCATTGGCAGGCAGATTCTTAACCACTGGACCACCAGGGAAAGTCCCTTAATATAAATTTTTAAAACTTAACACTTTGTGTAGTGAAATTCTGGGGTCCGATGGTCCTCTTCCTGTACTGTTTTAGTTATTCTAAAACAATTTATTTAGTTTTAGTATTCTATAGGTATCTGTCGGAGACATTCTTTTCTCTGCATTCTTAGGTAATATGCTTCATTCCCAAATCAGCAAATCTCTCAGTGCTGATTATTTTCAAATCCCTTGCTGTAGCTTCCATCTTTCCTGAGCTCTGAGTTTGAATGCCCAATTGTTAGATTTATCTGTGTGTCAAATAAGACATGGAGCTCAAGACCTTCAGTTCTTTCCCTCTTCCACCCAGTTGATTAGCCACAAGCTGGTGTTTGTTTTGGCTGTAGATGCCTCTCTCTTTCAGTCCCCCTGGAGAAGTAAATGGCAACCCACTCCAGTATTCTTGCCTGGGAAATCCCATGGACAGAAGAGCCTGGCAGGCTACAGTCCATGGGGTCTCAAGAGTTGGACACGACTGAGTGACTAAACCAACCATCCAATCCAAGAACTATACCTTCTAACTCTGTGCATGGTGGTTTGACTAATTTTCTTAGAGTCAAGAGCAACTTTTTAGTTCAGGCCACCTGCAACCTTTCACTGATAACAGTCATCTGCTAGCAACTTGGACATAGAGTATTCTGCAGAAGCAAAAACCCAGTCACATTACTCAACCTGTGTGCTGCCCTTTATAGTCTTAGGTATGAAGTTCCACATTCTCAACTTGTTTTGTAAAGCTCTTTTTTTTTTCCTTTGAAGTTTGCTTCTGATTTAGGTGTCCCCGGTGTACCGTCCCATCTACTCTCCTACTCCTGATACTATAATATCTATACACCATTTCTCATTCTCATTCTCTCCCTCAACTCCTGCCATACTGAGTTAATTTAAACTTTGCAAACGTTTCATGTTTCCTCTGTCTGCATGTCTTCTATATATGCACATCACTGTTCTGGAATCCTCTGACCCTAATTCCTATCTGCTGTACCCATTTATTAAGTGCTATTCATCTTTTGTGTGTGCTTAGTCACTCAGTTGTGTCTGACTCTTTTGTGACCCTTTGGACAGAAACCTGCCAGGCTTCTCTGTCCATGGGACTCTACAGGCAAAAATACTGGAGTGGGTTGCCATGCCTTCTTCCAGGGGATCATCCTGACCCAGGGATGGATCCCATGTCTCCTGTGTCTCCTGCACTGCAGGTGGATTCTTTACCTGCTGAGCCATTCATCTTTTAGGTGTCAGCTTAGTCTTCACTCCTCAAGTTTCCTACATGCTTTTATAATATCTGGAACTTTGTCTATCACAGAACATAATACCACACCCTGTACAGGGATAGGATTGACCTGTTTTAAATTTTTGTCTCTTACTGGGTCTGTAAGCCTAGGTATTATAGAAATCGTATCTATCCTGTTCACTTTTTTTTTTGCCAGGCTTCAACACATGTGCAGCATATATTAGTCTTTCAATAAATTGTGATTGAATGTCAAGGTCTATAAATAGTCCAATGATGTAGCATTATTCTTGGGAATAGTGAAGTGGATTTTTTTCTGGCAGGGCAAAATATTCATGCAATATGTGTGGGTCCCTGTAACTGTCCCTAGACAGATAAATGAACTTCTATAGCCAGACATCTATAACTAAATAGTGTGCTATTTCTCCTTGGTAATGTAGTAATGTAATCAAACTTAAATGTCTTTAAGAGTGTGGTTGGTCCCAAAAATTTAGCTATTTTGAGTGAGGCCTGGTATTCGGTGATTTCATTGTATTCACCAGTTTTTTCCAGATTTCCAGGGTAATGCTGGTAGTTTTACAAAGTGATTAAAAGACTTCTCATAAGAACACTAACTCTAGTCCTTAGTCATTTAGAAAGTTCTGTATGTACTAAGAAATTTTAAGTCTTCCGAGCAACATTTTTAGTTTGGGCTCTCTGTTTCTGGCATTTCAAGCAGTATGATGATCCCATTATATTTTCTGTGACATGACCTTATAATTCTATTTGGCAGCAAAAATGAAGTAATTTTTTATTGTAAAATTATATTTGGTATAATATAAAATTTGAGAAAGGACTATATAAATGAGCATTCAATGAATGCCAACACTTTATTTAGTAATATGTTAAAAAATATCACATTTTACCTAGGATAATGAAGAAAAAAAAAGCAGATTACTCTTTTTAGATACACCATTTTTATTTAACCATCATAAAGATGAAAGGATTTTTATATATTTTGTATGTTAGCTTTATTAATTATTTTATTTAGTAAGGAATGATTATAATGTCAGTGGTTTTGAGCCATAACCTCATGAATGTTAATATTTAAACCATTTTTATTTAAAAATGTGCATAATGTATAAATGATAAATTGTTGATAATGTGTTTATAGACCAAAGTATGTAAAGATTTCTTAGTTACTTTCTTGAAATTTCATGCTATTAGGAAGAACAACTTTTAAATTATAAATAATTTAAAAAATCACTTATAATCCCACTACATTTCATTTTGCTTTCATTCATAGTTGCTTTCAGTCTTTATGTCCTTGCAATATGTACCTTTGAGCATTCATATTTTTCATTTGTTTTCATAATGATGTATAAACAACTTTGTTGCTTTTAAATTAACATTTTATTTGAAATATATTTTTTATTTATTATACATAATTGTCTTCATACTTGTCTAGGTATAATCTAATATAAATCAGTTTTTAGATAGAAACCATGACTTCTGGTTTGAAGTTTTGCTTTTTATTCTTGAAACTTATTTACTGTTAGTAACACATCATAAGATGCTTATTTTAATAACTAACTTTTTTCTTTCAAATATCAGATAATGTACTTCTTAAGGTAAATCATTATGAAATTGGTAGTATTTATATACAAACAGAAGTTAGACATAAGAAAAGCAGATCATCTAATATACACATGAAAACAAGTCATTTCAGAAATGAATCTGATCTGCAATAAAAATAGGGACTCTAATTTTGTGCATATAAACCTCAATGCTTGGGTCACTATGACCTTGAATACCTGGGTGACTTGAAAAAAAATGAAAGAAAAAAGAAAAGATTCAGTTGGAAAAGTTTCTCTGCCAGTGACATGACATCACCCTTGGAAATGTTTCGATATTGTGAAAACAGGATTAAGAAAGCACTACCACCTAGTAGCTGGGGACTTCCTGGAACAGCCTAACTACATAAACAGTTTTCTGCACTTTCCAAAGCTGCCAGCACAAATGTCTGTGATTTTTGATGAAGAAAACAGATGTAAACAGAGGGTAAGGGTGATGAGTAACCTCTGCCTGTGTGATGAGAGATCCAAAAAAAGAGAGATTTCCAGTCTTAGTGATCTCTGAAAATCCAATAGACATAAAAAGTAAAAAAGTTATGAAGTTTTAATTCTGAAAACTAAATGTAATGTCTTTTATGCTCTAAACTTTTAAAAAAGATATTGATTTTCATATTCACCTAGGGGTCCTAACAGACTCATCAATAATTCATGAAATAAATATTTAAT